AATCCTATTCAACCGCCTTCACCTGGGGTTGAACTGGTATCTTGTGATCTGACCTGTGGAGCACTAACCACTGTGCTATAGATCCACAGATCTAATATTAAAGTAATATTAAAATAGTATTAATTTATAGTAATTTAAATAGTAAACTAATATTGAAATAATATTGAAATGATATTATTAGAAACTTTATAATATATTATATAAGTTAAATACTATTAATTATTATAAGTAAATATAATTAAATTAAAAATATAAAAGACCTATGGGTCTATAGCACAGTGGTCAGTGCTCCACAAGTCAGATCACAAGATACCAGTTCAACCCAGGTAAAGATAGTTGAATAGAATTAATATGGTATTTGATATCATAATCTGCTAAGCACTGTTTCTTATAAGAAGCCTATTACATGCTAATTCGATAAGTATTAAGATTGTGATCTCCAAAAAAGGTGTTGTGGCGCAACAATCATCCGGTTGGTGTTACGATAATCGCTGGAAGCAGGAAAAATAAAAAGGCATAGAAGGTATCCGGTTTAGGAAAAAATAAGGCTTAGTGATTCTCTCCTCATGGTATCTGATGCCTCTTCCTGATTCTATTTGTTAAATAGGTACTACCCCGTATTCCTCTTTCACTCTTCCTTTATAATATTTCATGGTTAGAAAAATAGAATTATTACAGAAAAAATCATTTAAGATCACCAGTATAGCTTAGATATGCTGGTTTGAGTCTTTATAGCTAATCTTCCAAGGGAATTAGAAACAAATTCTAGCAATACAAGTCATTATCATAGATAGCTTTTACTATATATATTATATAACAGAATTTACTTTAGAGTGTAGAAATATATTTAAAGAATAAATTTAATCGTACAAGTAAATTTGGCTTGGCCAAAGGTTAAAAAAAAAAAAAAATTAAAAAAAAATTAAAAATATAAAAATATAGAATATATACAGTATATTCTTTATTTTTATATATTTTTTTATACTAATTAAATACTATATACAGTATAATGCAAAAAATTTTAAAATATTATTTATATAATATAAACATATATAACTTTTTTAAAACAAAAGCAATTCATGTAAAATTTTAAATATGTAAATAATATATTTCAAATAATATATTTCAAACAATATATATAGATACTTAAAATTATTTAATCATTTTATTTTTGTTATAAACTTATTCTTATAATATTATTTTCTAAAAAAAATACTCAATGACAAACTATATTATATTTGTAGAATAATAGAATTACTTCTGCATATGAAATATATTCCAAAACTGGTATAAATATGTTAACTATCTATTACAATCTTAAAAAATTGAATTTAAAAAACAATAATTCAAAAAAATCTGATAATAATTATTTTAAAAAAATTATAACATATGAATCAAAAGCAATTGATCAATATTTACATCATAATTCAAGACTTTCCTTAAGAACTTTGGCAATTAAATTATCAAATATTAATATCAAAGTATTATATTTAATAATTTTAAGATATTTGATCAATATGAATTACAAAAATAATTTACCTTTAAAAATATTTATACTTACTACTGCTTATAAAGAAGCTTATATTATTTGAGCAAAAAAACATCTTGATAATAATTGGAAAAAAACATTATTTTTTGATGAAACAGCATTTTAACTATTTATATAATTACTTAATAATATAAAGATGCAAAACTAATTAAAAGAATACCTAAAAATTATATTAAAATCTTTGTATAGAAAGAATTTTATACAAAAGAAAAAACTTCTCTTTTTTTGTTTTAAAGAAATTATAAATATAAAATTTTATATCTATATTTTGCAAAATTATAAACAAAAAATTAATAGACTATTTAAAAACAATTGGTACTTTCAATAAAATAATAATCTCAAGTATATAAATAAAATTGCTAAAGTATTTTTAAATGAAAATTTTTCTGAAATTATTGATTAACTTTTTAATAGTCCAGATTTAAATCCTATTAAAAACCTTTGAAATATTACTAAAAGAAATATAAAAATAAGATTACCAAAAAATATTTTAAAATTAGAACAATTTATAATAGAAGAATGAAATAAAATTCCAAATAAGATTTTAAATAATTTTATAGATTCAATAAAAGAGAGATGTGAATTAATAATTGTCGAGGATGATGTTGAAATCGGATGATACTGAAATTCACATGATATATATGTCACATAATAAGTAGCGGATTTCTGAATTGCATATAACCAATCAAATATCTGAACGTGAGATTAAGGTACCAGAATTCACACTTACTGTAGACAGCAGAAATCAGTGAGGAAAGAAGACCCTGTTGAGCTTGACTCTAGTTTGACATTGTAAAAAGACAGAGGGTGTAAAATAAGTGGCGAGGGGTAATCTATCGGTAAAATACTATTACCTTTATCATTTTTTTACTTATTCAATTAAATGAGCTAGGTTTCATTACTTATATTTTTGCGTTAAGGTCATTCATTGGCTGATCCATGTTGAAGACATTGTCAGGTAAAGAGTTTGACTTAAATCTATAGAACCGTAACTACAAAACTAAATGCTACTTAATTGACATATGATCTGTAATGCTATTATCATTTTGCAGAATATCAACGATTTTATTATAATAAAAAAAATCTGTAATGCTATTATCATTTCGCAAAACATCAACGATTTTACTATAATAAAAAAAGATTTGAAAAAACTCTTTTCATTCCCATCATAACCCTAACCTAATCTATTCTAATTGTGACCTTAAACTAACACATTTCCATAACCGATCTTTCAATTCATATTTTTTTAAAATAAAAAAATTTTCTAAAAATCGATTACAATTTTTTCTTTATAGCCCAGACCCATTTGACAGGAATTTGAATATCTTTGCCATTCATTTCAACAATTGCAGTGTGATTATTGGACTTGAGGGACTTAAAAACACCTCATTCTGAAAAGATCAGCTACAACTTTCTCTTGCGAGTTTGTTGATTCATATCATGATCGGGCACAATAGCAATTTCAATTCCAGTTTCAATTGTATTATTTGCCGTTTTCTTTCTATGCATATTATTATGGCCTAACTTTTCACAATACTTTTCAAGTGAAGCATTTATGGATTGGTGAATTTTGAGCATATGTGAAATGCGTTGTTCCATAGCAGCTTCGTCTGTTATAGTTTCGGAGGTGATGGTTTCAAAAACAGTGGTCTTAAAGATGACAGTGATAATCTCAGAGGTGGAAGTTTCAGAAGCGGTGATAGTTCTGAAGAAATCTGTTATAAGCAAAAAAAATCGTATGTTTAGTAACTATTATAATATAAAAAATAAAATCAATTCCAAATTCTAAGTTTTATATTAAAAATGATATAGACCGGATGTATCATATACACAATACATTTTCCATCTGAAAATTGCTTCGTGCAGGGTGCAGCCATGTGCTTTGTGGATAGTTGAATTATATGACATAACAAACATATCAATTACATTAATCCAATCTTTTTTCTGTAACTGATTATTTCGATCCCACAACAACTTAGTAAAATCATGGCCCACTGTCTGGTTAAGTTGCTCAATTTGACCTTGTGACTGTGGATGGCAAGGCCTATCATGCCTGATTATAATATTAAGAGCTCCACAAATTTTAGTAATAATTCTTACAACAAACTCTTTACTATTGTCACTTTGAATAATCATGGGGGTCCAAGAACTTTGAAAACTTCTTTTATAAGATGTGTCGTGACTGTGCTTGCTTCCTTATTCTTTATAGGAACTGCAATCAGAAATTTAGAAAACACACAAATACATGTAAGTAGCCATACAAAATCATTATTGACTTTAGCAAAATCTCAGAAATCGATTAGATCAATTTGAATATGCTGCCATGGTACTGTTGATATCACATTCTTCATGTCGGTTTTTTCTTTGATAGAAGTAGTTATGGTACAAATAGTGCATTGATTTACATATGTTCTTACTTCCTCTTGTATAATTCCAATATGTTTTTCTGAAATTGCAGAGAAAGTTTTGTGATACTCCCGATAATTTGCTTGATCATGAAAATGTTCCAAAATTAAAATACATATCTCTTTATCATATTTAGGGATTACACGATGTTTTTCTAATATTATACCATCTTTCATAATTGGCTTGACATAAAGAAAATTATTTTTATCAACTTCAAATTTTTTGCAATAATGAATAAAATTGGATTTTTTTGTGGGATCTTGTTGAATATTATTTGATATAGTTTTTGACTGAAGATATTTAATGATTATTTGATATTCTTTCAAAGTTTCTGGAATTTTGGAATCACTGGCATATTTTTTTTTTTTGTTTTTATATAAAATTCAGAAATTTTAAAAAATCTACTACTTATCATATGATATATATCACATGAATTTCAGCATTATCCGATTTCAGCATCATCCCTGACAATAATTAAAAATAATAATAAAAGAATTAATTATTAATTATATATTAATAAAATCTTTAGATTTTTTGCTTTATTTTAATATATTTTTTATTAATTTCTATACAGTAATTTTGAATAATGAATAAATAAAAAATTTCAAAATTTTTTGTACCATACTATATATGTTTCTAAAATTAAGCTTAATATATTATTATTATTATTTTTTAAATTCTTAATTAGGCTGGAATCATTTATTTATTAAATTATAATGAACTATTACAATTACAATTGTATATATAAATCTTCTTAACTTAGCTCACCTATCTATAATATTAATTCTTTAGATACTATTTATAGGAATAATATATTGTTCATCTATTAATTGAAATTAAAATTTCTTTTGCTTAATGGAGTTATAGCCTACAAATCATCTTTATAATAAGTTTAATATAATTATTATTATTATTTTTTTTTTTTACACCTAATCAGGCCATATATTCAAGTTTTATTTATATTCAAACTAGTTTGAAAACTATTGGATTCGAACTAATCCCAGGTACAAATGGGTAGACATCTAGTATCTGACAGATCTATACTATAGATTAAACTTATTATACTATATATGATACACCTGTCAACAGCCAATGGCCTTTAGATGTGATTAAGGGGAATGAAAAAAGTCACTCTATCTTGACTTACGTTTTTTGTAAATCTCAATGTCATTGCTAGCCCTTCATCAAGACTGTTCACCCCAACTTAACCTCTGTGGTTCTAAGACATAAAAAATTTTTATTTTTTCAAGAAGGTAAAAGGAAAGGATAAAGGGGAAAAAAAGATTTGCATTGGTAAAATAAAAATCCATTAACACTACCAGCCTAATAAGAGTCTTGATCTTGAGAAGAAAAGAAACCAGCACAAGAGGGTAGGAGGAAGTCTTCCAAGCACTTCTTATTAAGAGAACACCTCGACACCTTGTTCTTTCGCTATATCCAATTACATTATCGATTATAATGTGGTACGACGCAGGGCACATATGGGTACGTGTCTTGTTTATATTTTTTTTACTTGTCGATCAACCAATCCAAGATTTCAGCCAATCATCAACCAGAGAATCCGGTGTAACAAAAAATTCAGGGTCAAACTGAGATAGATAAAATTCCCCCAAAAAAACCAAGAAAATTTTGACATGCTTGAAAGTACTATACAGTATATATGATTGATGAAGAAGGATCATATATCCGAGCTATAGATTCTTACCAGCTTATCCATCTGCCTGGATCACAGGAATTTTTAACTTATGGTGAACCCAAGGTTCTTATGGAGCTTGGAAAATGCATTCGCTTGGCAGACCCAACTAGCTTATCCATCTGCCTTGGACAAAAGGTGTTTGCTTATGGTGGATCCAAGGTTCTTATGGAGTTGGGAAATGCATTCACTAGTGGTTCACTTTCTAGAGTTCCAGACCTTTGGAAAAAATAGTGAAGAGTGTTTTTCTACAAGTTTCTTCTTCCCAGTAAAGTATTCTTGCCATAAATCAAATAGGTAAAGTTTTGTTTATTTTGTTACTGAAATATCCAAAGTTTTTGAAGAAGGAGGAGTAAACAAGTGAAAGGAGGCACCTGCCTTCAGGAAGTAATGTTTTTAAAGAAAGTGTATAGACTTTATTATCAAAAATAAAGATTATTTTTGAGAATGTCTATTTTTTGGGTTGGCAAGGGAATCAGTGGAAAGAGTTTCTTCATAATTATTTTTGTAAGTTTAATATAATTATAAATATATATACTTTTATATTTATTTATTTATTTATTTTTATATTATATAAAACCAATATATATAAAATAATATTTTTTTTATTTTGAAACCAATAAATCAATAGTACAGTGGATAGTACTTTCTGATCTTCAAATATATATCCCTAGTTTAATATCCACAGGAGGCAAAATGTATAAAAATTATTTTTATTTATGAGTTTACTGGTTTTCTTATTAATATTGTATCCAAATATTCAAATTATAATAAAATTCAATTAGGCTATATAAAGATTAAACCTCTGGTTTTTTTAATGATTGCAGACTAAAAACAGGTTAAAGCAGGAAAGGTTGTATAAGAAAAGATCTCTGATCTAACTTCAATAAAAGTTCACAAACTTATTCTTCTGATATAACAAACTCCATAGCACAAAGAATACTTTAGCCTAAGGCTATTCCAATTTGATGCTTGCTTAAAAAAAGAGGATTTCTAAAGAAAATCTGAAGCCATAGATAGTAATAAGGAGTATAAATATTTTTTTTGAAGAACTAGGCAAAAAGTATTTGAATTATACATATGATAGAAATAGGTAAATCCTTGATGCAATTTGATACAATTATTTGATACAATTAGGGGAGTGTCACATATTACGTAATTATGAATTATATAAAGCTAACACCCCCCCCCCTTGTGAGATTGAAATCACATGATCATATTAAATAGCCAAGCATTATAAATATATGCTATGTACAATGTATGTATATAATATATAATATATGCCACGTATGTATAATATTGAAATTAATAAATATATTTTATTGAATAATTAAAAAGTCGCCTTCACTTAAAATTAGTTATCCCACATTTACTATTGAATTCGCCATACCATGTTTATTATTAAAATTCGTCATCATTCATGTTTACTATTAAAATTCGTCATCCCCCACATTTTCTACTAAATTCACCATCTTCCACGTTTACTACTAAAATTCGCCACTAAATACACATTTATTTTTTAGACTTCGTGAACACGATTGTTGCGAAAAACTTAAAGCTAGTATCCTTTTGCTTACTACTTTTGTCTCTAGAATTATCACGATTATTATCCTTATTTAACAGGCCTAACTTGTACCGTAAGAAAATAGAAATTCTTGCAGTAGTAGTGCGATATGTATTAGTAAATGTACTAAAGATCGGCTTTAAAGACATCAATATAACCTATAGATAAATCTCAATCACCTTTTTTTCAGATTTTTCTCTATGACCCCACCCATACGTGACCCTTGCTCTTAATGTAAGTTTATCGGCTTTATAACTTCTAACTTAATTGTTCAAATAAACTTTGTCTTCATGTTAGTATATATCAGTGAAAGCTTCATAATTACTATCTAGCCTTCTATCAAGATTTGTGGGAAAGTGTTACCTCCACCTTTGTTATCGATTTAAAGATCGATTACATTGATATTGATGTTCGGGAGACCACGTGATCATAATTCTCCATCGTTTTTTCAATATAACTAAATTTGATCACGTGTATTCACAAGTTGACCAGATCCCTCGTATATAAAGTCGCGTCTTAATCATTCTGTATATGAGATCACGTCTTCGATCACCCTGATTTGCCCAAAACTTTCTTAATATGCAAACTTTTCTAACTACTCCGAAATATGATAA